GGAGCAATATGTAACTCTGACATGTAGCGTTTAGAATTGGTACAGCAGACCAAATTCAAAACATTGGAGAGAGCCGTCTCCCTCCGCCCCCTCCTCCCTAGAGTCGATGTACACGGGAGTTGGCATGTCGAGCACACGGAAGCTTCAGTGTTTAGCCAGCTCTGCATCAGTTTTTAAACCTTTCTGCGTTCTAACCTCTCTCCATTTTTTTTAAAACCATAACCAATATTGATCCTACTTTTACAACGTTTGTAGTCATGGAGCTGATTAGAAAAATGCAGAGGCTTTTGAAGTTGGGTAGAATCAGTTATTTCTGATCCATTTGCCATGCCTGCTCCCATCTCTGCAACACCTATTGGTTTGCCGTGAGAACTGCTCTCATATCTGGCAAACCGAGGGGCATCCAAAACAGACGTGTGGGGGTGCCTAAAAACTGCACTGATCTAAAGTTAGAAGGAGGACATACTGGCTGCTGCATTGTTGTCAGATAATTCTGCACGTCAACAGAGCATGTTTCCTTAATGTCTGATGAAATAGTAAGGTCATTTTATTATTTAATTAAGTAGATATCTTAGAGATTTCTCCTTTCAGGGTTGTTCTGCCTGCAAGTTTATAAGCACGTTTTCAGTTCCATGTTTTACTGACTACCAATTATAGCTACAGTGATTTATTGTGATTTACTGAAATGATTCATTTGTGAGAAGGCATTTTTTAAACTCTCTATTAATTGAAATTATAAGCCCAAGCCAAAAAATAACAAATGAAACATCTAGCCTTCATGGCATCAATAATTACCACTCAAATTTTCCATTTATCAATCCATACTGGGACATAAGCTTTTAATGTGGCCATGTAGTGCAAAGAAAATTCAATTAACTTAATTGAATGACTCACACTATTCTGAGATTAACTAAATGGAACGCGTATCTCTAATACTACTGATGTAAAATATGACTAGTAATTCTTATTGCATAAACTGAAGGCATACATTAGTCTGTAAATACGTGTCAATTTCATTTCGTAATGTTTAGACAACAGCCTGTACGAAAGAGGTAAAAAAAAAGTTTTGGAATCAATTTAAAGATTATCCTTCTCCATCCTTTTCAAAACTTTTTTCAGCCCAACTTCTCATGCCTATGAACAATCTGCCGAACAACAAAACACAACTCGCCTACAAGGCAGAAGATTGGGTACCTTCTTTGACGAGGTTCTCATTGAAGAGGCTGCTAAGAATGGATGCAGAGATATTGCCGTTGGCTAACAGAATCCCTGTTAGCATGGCCAGCTTGTTGCGCTCAGACTCTGTGAAGCCCTTGAGAAACAGCAGCAGCTGCCAAAGAATAAACATAAACACAAACCTGTAGGCTGAATTGAGTCAGACATACAATACACTCATGTGAATGTTTTTTTTGCGTGAGAATCATGTTCATGAGTTTAAACTCATGACCTGAACAGGCACTATGTGTTCTTGTAAAGACACCTCTAGCAAACACAAACCTTTTTGATCTCCTCCTCAAATCCTTTCTCCAAGTATTTGTAACGCCTGATGAGCTTGTTAAAGACCTAAAGGCCATTAAAGAAAAAAACAGGTTTATTTATTTGTATTATCTATACTGACTAAAAGACAATTTTTTGAATTCCATGAAATAGCAGAGAAAATGTATCCAAAATGTAACAGTTACCTGTGCATATGCCTGCATGGTCTCTATGTCCTCGTTTGCTTTGAAGAGACAAAACTCAGTGGGGGTCACGTCATCTGATAAGGTCCCCCCTGGGGCTGAAAGAAAACAAACACATGTTCTTGATGTTATGAATCTCATGCGTCATTAATCGAATTAGTTGCTTTACTTTGCATTTGTGTCTACAGGTGCATTAGGCTTAATGATGAATAGAATGGTTTTTCTAGGTAGAATTATTCTAATGGCACACATTAATCATAATAAAACTGATAATAACCATTTCTTTTATTAAAGGTGGATCAACTATGTAGAGTCCTGCCTCTTACCCAGCATCCCACCAGCCACCAGGATGTCGAACAGAGTTTCAGCATAGCGTCGGTAGTCAAGCTTGGCACCGGAGGCATCAAGGAACTTTGCGACAGCTTCCAAATCAGTGCCAGTTTGGTTCAGACCTTGTATGATACTTTCCTGAAACTGGGAGGGGTCAAACCTCTCCTTTTCATCTGTTGACATGCCAAAAAATGCACTTGAATTAATCCTATGCTTATCGTGTTATTGGCAAAATAGACTCACATTTCTTGGGGGACAGTGAAAAAAAAGAATCGTATTTGACAGAAATATGTAGTAGGCAAATGTTAAATATCTCATCGGCGAACAATTAGGCATGGCTTACGATGAACATATCTTTCAATATTTATTGAAAGTGTGCTGACCTTTTGTATTCAATGTTGGGGAGGAGCACTGTCCTTACAAAATAAGAACAAACTGGATAAAGTTGTTAAACGTTAAACTAGGCAGCAAGATAACTGGGAAGCAAATGTACAGCATTTCTTTCCTGACAGACCGGTACACACTGAATTTAGCCATCAAAATTACAGCTGACCCTCTGCACCCCCTCTGGTCAGAGTATGAACTCTTGAATTCAGGGCGCAGGTACATAATGACCAGGATGAGGACTAAAAGAGGCTTTACATCCTTTGTACCGCGCAGTATTCAGCTGCTTAATAAGAACTGATTATACAGGACGAACTCGGCACTCTGCACTTTATTTAACTTGCTGAAATCCCTCATTGAATCATGTGATGCTTTAGTGTGTTTTTATGTGTTCTTATGCGCTGTCCTGTAAAATGTTGTTTGTATTGTGTCTTTTTAGCTCTCTGTGTAAGGCAAATTCCCCTAGAGGCAATAAAGGTTTCATTCATTCATAACATTTCTCTAACTGAGATTGTGAGCAGGGAAGATGGGGGACAGAAATGTCTGTACTATGACATTTAAGGGGGGAAAAAAAGGTAGTTGTTGGGACTTGACAAAGAACCAAGTGGTTGACAACAAACCCATGTAGATTCAAAAGCATCTTTTTTTTGGGGGGGGGGGGGGGGGTAGTTAAGGAAATGTATTCCCTAACTTACAAAAAGCTCCTTACCTCTTTTGCGGGTTTTGAAACGCTGGCCTGTAAGCGTAGGCTTCTGCTGCCTTTGATTACTCATAAAAGACACTCTGGAAGAAAATACAGAGAGGAAATGAGATCAATACAAGACAGGACACTCAAGTGTTTCACTACTACTTAGAAAATAAATTATTAAAGAGCTTTAAAAATGGCGGAAATAGCCCCCCCCCCCCCCCCCCCCAAGACAGTGAAACACGACGTTGTGATGAGGTGTGCGTCACTTTATAAGGCTTACAGTCACACATACAACCAAAGATATAACGAGTCTGACACCAACCATTGTCTAATGTTGTTTGCCACACATATCTTTGGAAGCATGTAATCACATTTACAGGACATTAACCCACAATTTCAATCAATAAAAAGTAGGCTACCCACCAGTGGCTAGCTTTATCCACCGTTACTTATAGCCTGCAGATCTATTATACGGTATTACGGTGACTTACTTTCCAAAATGCTTTCTCGCGAGATTTGTCAAAATGTCACAAACAATGACACTACGGGTTGTTAAATTGTCTGCCTTGTCGTTAGCTATCTAAAGTTAGCGTAAGCTTTCTTGGTGGCTATGACGCAGTGCCGCCGCAATTAAGCAAAACTGTATTACCATTGTCTCATTATTATTACATAAAAACAGATGACAGCTTACCTTAATCCTCTTAATGAGCAAAAACAATCCGTGAAATAAAATCGAATACCTCTGGACTCCACTATAATCAGTAGCAGCAGGGAAGAGGAAAGCGTTAACGCTACAGCGCATGCGCGGTTACACTGAAGATGTGGGTCATTACACTTCGGTGGGGAGGGAAGGGGGGGGCGTAGTTCACACGCTATTCAAAACTGATAATAAACTGATAGCGAAAATAATACAAGCTCGTTTTTTTTTCGCAGTTATAATATTTAAAAAATATGAGGTTCACTTCTTCTCTGCCTATTTCGCCAAATGGTATAATACGAAATACAATATTTATGATGTAACCCCCCTGTGTCGTTGGTTAGCGCGTAGTCTCAATGATAAGAAGAATTGTTTGACCCTCCAAAAAAAGGTTTGCAGCAGGATCAGTTTACTACCACTGAAAGTGAGTGTTAAGTCTCTTTGGTGACGGATAAAACAAATACAGAGTTGAACGTCATTAAACAACAGGTCAACAAGTCGTTGCTATCTAGCATTAAGACACAGGATGGGGATGTTGTGCTGTTGGATGGATGTGTATCCATCAGTGGGATGAAAGGAAAACTTTAGTGTTGCGTTACCGTTCAGCTCGTAAATCTTTCTTCTGATTCAGAAAACTTCATGGAGCTTCTTTTCATCCATGGTTTAACCAAAGTCGTACTGTTTCACCCTTCATAACAAAAACAGCAACTTGGGTCAACATCCTATTTTATATAGCCTAAATTGAAAAAAATGAAAATAAAAAACACATTAAAAAAAAAAAAATTGGCTCATCAGCGAATTAAAATATGTCAATTTGCGAAAAGTGTCTCTCGTCTTTTTTTATTTTTTATTTCACCTTCATTTATCCAGGAATGTCCCATTGAGATTAAAAACCTCTTTTTCACGGGAGTCCCGGCAGCAAAATGTACAGTCACACTCACAATAATACAGACAGCAATTAAAATTATTTAAAAAAAACAATTTTGAAAGTCGAATCTCTTGATTAGTGAGAATAATGCAATAGAGATTTAACGTTCAGTAGGAGTGGGAGGTCTCCAAAATAATCACACATTAATGATTCATATAGGCTAGATTCACTATGAGTGTCTGGACAAAAAAAAAAAAAAATGTAATAGTAATATTTCCGACAACATTTGAAAGCATCACCTCCCCCCCCCTCACTGGAGGTGATTAGGGGACGCTGGACTAGCCCAGAGACGCCGCTCTAGCCACTCCCTACGCCCGGCCGGCGGACCCTGCACTCTCATGTCCATCCACAGCTCCATTCAAAGTGCTGAGATCCAGATGAGAGCCCCATCCAGCCTCATCTAGCACGGCATTCGAGTGAAACAAAAAAAAAAAACTGCAGGGGAAGGGCTTCAGGAGCAACTCCAGACTTGGGGAATCACCTCTTGGATTCCTACTTTTTGTCCGAAGAGTGGATTTAGGACGATAGGGAGCAACTCTTGCTGAGATAAAGAGGCAAGTTTGAAATCTTCAGTTGTGTTTATTGTGGTTAGAATTAATAATAATAATTTTTAAAAAAAACTCCGGGGAAGGTTTTTTTGGTGACTACTTGTTAGGCTACTGTGTTGCACTAACTTTTCTCCAAAAGTTAACTTCACACAGGAGCGAATGTTTTGACCGTCTGCTTCCCAACTCATTCATTCCTCCTTACTTCGTTACAAGAGGGGGTTGGGATTTAACAACAAAAAAAAAAAAAAATCTTTGTGAACGAAATGTTATTGTGAGAGGCTAAAACTTGCCAAGTCTGCATGTCAGAGTTTCGTTGCGTCTCTTTGTCTCCTTCTTAATCCTAACCGAGGCTCATCAAGCAATGTTAATGAAAACGTGTGGTCGCTAATTGCTCACATCTGCGGCTTTAAGCACCATCTTTGTAGTTTCTAAGAGTTATCGCTGCAGATCCACTCGGCAGATGTGTCAACTCTGAATACACACAAAGAGTTCAGTCTTTTCAGAGTGCGCTGATATCAAACTCGGAACATATTTAGCGCTGTGCTCAGAGTATCCTGCTCAATACATTTTCCCCCATCTCACCGAACAATGTTTGAATGTCATGCCCTCTGTAAAATGGGCGTTTGAAGCCAGTTCTGTAGGAGTAAATGGAAACAGAAAACGCTAACCTCCACTGTGGGGTCTTCTGATTTGATTAAAATGATATCCTCTCTATGATCTGTGGATACACTTGGATCTGTACTTACAGGAAAAAAAAAAAAGGATCAATGTCAGCCTTTTAAAGTTGATAAACTGTCTGATGGTGGGTTTACCCTCCAGTACGCCTCTGGTTCGAAAAGATTTTTTTAATGCGCCTGACTGGAATAAATTACTGGCCAGCATGGGCTGAATGAATAAAACTATTCACCTCTCTGAGTCTATGAGTAACATCCCAAAGTTCCTTCTTGGCAGAGGTGACCTGCTTTTGCTCTGCTGGGATCCCCCCGTGGGACCCAGCCTTCAGCTTATACAATCCAACAAGGTGAGGAATACATTATGGGAGCAAAAACTATACTAGATGGAGAGGAAAACTGCAATGTTCACAATGTTAACATTACACTGTATTTGCATTAGATGAAAATAGAGAAAGTCCTCGTACAGAAAGAAAATTGGGGCTCTAAATCACGACTGAGTGCCTCTCTAACTGTTCTGTGGGGTGTTAGAAGAACATGATTTAAAAACATGAATTAGATGAGACTGCTTTTTTTCTAACTGGAAACAGAAACTGTGGTAGGACGTTAAAGCTATGAGTCAAGGCTGTGGAAACTGCTCAGTCTAAACACAAGTTTACCTAGACTTTAGCTTCTTTTCCTATCCCTTGTTTTTCATGATCCAGTAAAGTCTGTTTACAGGTACAGTAGGCCTTTCATATACTTACTAATAATCAGGCCATAACTGCTTTTAAAGATAAAATCAGTTAAAGATTTACACATTCACAGTCTTGTTATGCTTCTTAAACGGGCTATTTTTGTCCCCTTTAGTTTTATTTTCTTACAACACTGTTGCTATGGTTTCCCTTTTTTTAAACATGTAGTTCTATTTATGAACTTATAGGATCAGATACAATTTTTTTTTTCTTTTAAAGGATGGTGTCTTTTCTTTTGTGGTTGTCCACAAATATGTCCTGCCTCTATTGGCCAGAGCCTCTGTCGGGGAAACCAGATGGGAACTTTATTACACACACTGATCAAACAAACTGTGATGTAAGCCGACTGCGAAAGGTAGTGTGTTGTAAGCCTTCAGAGTTTCAGATGGACTCCTGGAAAAAAGTAACAACCGTTTAGCTCAGACTTGGAAGGCGGTAGAGTGTGGGACTTTTGGCCACTGTACAGTAGCTCTCTTCAGAGTGAGCTAGTTGGCTGGCCTGGTTTAAGTTGCACCAGTGCCTTTTTTTTAGTGTGCCAAAAAACCTCTTCATGAACACTTTGGGCTGAGATGCTGGGGTCTAATGCAGTGTGTATAGAGGACCAAAAGTCCCCAAGCCAGTGCCATGGTGATGAATGGTGTTTGCACTTGTCTGGCCGTGCAGCTTAGTGTAGTGAGGCGTGTGTCTTGTGTTAGCTCTGAATCAACACATTAGACAGGGTCACACATGTGTAGCACCACTGACTGGACCGTGGCAATCCTCCTGCTTAAGAGTCTGTGTGTGCATCATTCAAAGTCCTATGAACGATAGTTTCATTTTAAATTCAGTGCCTCAGTCATTGCTACGACCCTGATCTCAAACTGTTAATGTAACTTTTCGAGGTCAAAACTGACTGACCTCATGAGGTCAATGTCCAAACAAAGAACTTTCTCCATGGACTGTTTGACTCTTGTGAAACTTAACTTGACTTTTTTTTTGTCTTCCCTTGCAGCTACAGTAATAACTGTGTTTTGAGCTCACTGTTACTCTGTTAAGTCCAGCACAGCTGCTTTCTCCATTCACTTATGGGAAGCCTAGCCAGACCGAGTGTTAGACTGCCTGTTATGCAGACTACGCTGACGGTGCTTTTGCAGAGCAGTCTGGGGAACATTTAAGTGCACTAGTGCTGTAATACACTAAAAAGTTATATCCTCGCAGGGTTCTCCTGTGTGCATTTTATTTGGTAGCTGGTAAACAGATCATACAGTGGAGTGTTGACTTACTATAATTGTACAAATCCAACAGACCGGAAGGACTTTTAAGTTAAACTCTGAGCACAGCGTGTGCTGTATGGCTAATAACATTTTTTTTGTGATGCTTGTTAAAAGTTATGTGCCTCATGTATGATGAGGTGTTAATTATATTTGTATATAGGCACATTGCTTTAAAGCCCTATTTCCAACAAGCATTCTGGTTCAATACAGTAAAAATTATCCCCGCTTCCACCGAACGGTCCGGTTTGGTTCAGTCGATACCCATTTATTGGCGTTTCCACCGTCAAAAGTTGGCAATGGTACCAAATGAAGGGATCCGTACCGTCTTCTGATACTTCTGGGGTGCCAAGGTTACCAATCCGACCCTAAAGGGTCCCTTTTTTACTGTGTCCCTGTTCTTCTTGAGCGCTTAACTTAATTAATAGCGGGCTGGGCTACACTGTGGTTGGCTGCTATGATGCGGCTATCTCCATCTGGCTCCGCTTACCAAATAAGGGTATGGTTGGCTGTAGAAACGCAAGCAAGATCAAGGTTTACCGTACTGAGCTGAACCAAACCGTACTGTATCAAACCGCACTGCTTGGTGGAAAAGGGGATATTTATTGGTGTTTCGACAGTCAAAAGTTGGGAATGGTTCCAAAATAACCGATCCGTACCAGACTACTTTTTTCCTGCCCTTCCGTTCGGCCAAGTACCAAGCCTGCCAATCTGACCTTAAAGGGTGGAGCAAGATACACTGTAGTCTGTTGATTGGTAGATAGAATCATCACTTACCTTGCGACAGTGGTAATAATGGACAAACCTAAAACGTGCTAGGTTTAGATATCCTGTGGATTTTGAGGCGGTATAATTTTAAGCCACAGCGGCCTACAGCCTTCTCTCAAACAAAGATTGTCTTCTTCTTGTGATCTACAAGCCAAGAAGAAAGAACACAAAATGCTGGACATTCTCCATTGCTACCCTATTTGTGTATTTTGTTTATCCCTTTATTGGCAGGCTACACTGTATCGCCCTACTTAGATGTCACTCTATAATGTAGATGATGCCGCTATCGCCATCCAGCTTACACCCTGCCTAATGTTCCCATCCAACTCAGGGAACGGTTGGCTGTGGAAACACAAGCAAAATCAGAGTTTACCATGCCAAATTGTACTGATCCAAACCAGACTGCTTGGTGGGAACGGGGCTGATTGTTACACTTTGCTATGCTAACCTTAAACCCTTTCTCCTTATTGATAGTTTTACCCAAAACCTAACCAATCAAACTAATTCAATTATGTTGAAGCCAAAGTCATTTGCTGAAATTTGTATATATGATTATAAAGTTAAGAATATGACAACCACAGATTATTTTTCTTAATCTGTATTTATATATAGTTTTTTAATGTTTCAGTAAATTCCCAGTTTAAGCCTTTTCCCCAAAGCTTACTCTACCTAATAGTCTAATTTACTCTTAATGTTGAACTATCTGAAAAAGGTATTTGAAACACCAAATATATCATGTGCCAAAAATCTGATATTATTGTTATAAAAAGAGCCTCATGCACATAATGCCCATCATATGAAATCTCATGTATTTGAACTGTCCCACTGAATCTGTTTAAGAAAATGATGTATCAGGACCTCTGGAGCTAACCCATCGGACATGTATTCACATCTCCCGCCTGGTCTGTTTTCAGTCTCGGTTTTGTATGCTTAGGGGATTAATCACGGTATGGTTGGTGGATCTTTTGTCAGTCTGATTGCCAGCTGTAGGCTCATGTTTTTGCAAATCTACCAGCCTCTCTCTCTCTACTGTTTGAGCTGTGCATTGTAAGTGAGCACATTGTTTGGGTTACGGTTTCATGTGTAACCAGGGGACATTGTTGTTTGGCATGACAACTCGATTCAACTTGCAAAATGTGTGCAATTTTGACAGAACGTAAATCATCGAATTGCAACCATTTATTGCAAAACATAGTGTTTTCAGTCCTTTTTCAGTAGGAGATCTGCATCTTTTCAGGAGATTCTACTTTCTCTGGCAATGGCTCTCTCGCTGTCCCTCTGAACTGCTGTCCTGTCTCTCCTGGTCTGTCCTGGTCTGCTCTCTGGCTCTGCCCCATGCCCCGCTGCTGCTCCATTAGGGAGGGTTTTAATCCCCATCAGTGCCAGCAGCAGCCTACAATGTTGTGACTCCTCTGCCCCGTGACAAGGCCAGCTTGATCTGTTGGGAATTTACTATTACGCCGCATAATAGACTTTTATTATCATTTGTTTGCACATGGACGCCTCTGTGTTCTCAAACAACCGCTCCTAAGGTAGAATGACGCCAATCCTCCGTCAGTGGGGCTCACACGATAGCCAATTTG